GTTTGAGATGCTTTTTTAACGTGCCATGCAATGATTATGACATTAACACTTTTTTTCTAAAACACACATTTTTGCAATTTTTTGTCTTCACTATCTTTATTTGCATTTTATCTGGCAAATATGTGTTTGCAAATTTGTTTTCCCGGAAAGGATTTCAAATAGTCCACACCTCAGTGCGTCCTGGACGCTTGTATTTCAGCTACACGTGAACGTTTACGAGAATACGACATACGAACATAATTCAAAAGTATGAATTATACATTGCTTTTTCAATATACTGTTTTTGCTGGTATTGCATACTTTTACTTTGTCATCTCATTAGTGCAAATTGACTTCATCTGAAGATCATAAAATGTTAAATACAATTTGACATACATTTTGTCAGTGATTTTTTTACATGTTTTAACTGTTTTGGTCAATACTTGGCGAACTTATACATGCTGGTAATATTAACTATTTGGGTAGTTGTTGGACTGTTTTAATGTGCTGCTGGTACTTTGCCATATTTAAATTGTGCACATGAACTATTTATTGTCAATGTTCTCTATGATAGGGATTCATGCACGGGACCCCCTTCTCAGCTTTATTTGATGTTGACGTGTTTTTTTTCAGGTTATAACATAACTCCAGAGGGCGACACGATTCCTCATTATGGTCCAGAGTACACTTCACCCGATCAGGTAAAACCTTCATTAGTTACATTCTTCAATCAAAGTAACGGAGGAGGATTTTGAGAACACATCACAGAGAAATATAGTAACTATATGTAAGATGGAATATCAAAGTTCAAATAGATGTACACATTGTTGTTGTTGTTGTTGTTGTTGTTGTTGTTGTTGTTGTTGTTGTTGTTGTTGTTGTTGTTTGGTCTCGTTAATTATAATGATGTTTTATCAAATTTATATTCATATAGATATTGGTTTATTTCGTGAGCTCACAGTTTGGAAGAATACCCGGGGTACAGGGATTGTTCATAGCCTGCATTTCTGCTGGTACTCTCAGGTAAAATCTATGGTGACATTTGAACGAGACTTCTACGCTCTAAATTAAATTGCCCCGAATACATTTGACTGAAAGCTATCGACAGGTTCTGGTTAAAGTAGACTCGATCGAAGACAAAATAAGTTTCCGCTGAATTGGATTTTTCATAATCTGAAATAAAACATTGAGTGTGCTAATTTTTGTTGTTTTACCAGTATGAATACGATGTCATTTTCTGTTTCCTCTTAGTTCTGTTTCTTCCTGTCTCAGTGCGTTGATTGCTGTCACTTTAGAAGATTTTATCAAACCATTCCGACGTTGGAGATCCCGCCGTAGAGGGCAAAGATTACAAGAAGATGACACAAAAGATACTTTGATTTCCAAATGTTTAAGTTAGTAGGCAAATGTAGACTCTTCCAATAAGTGTATGAATCGTTGATGTCTTACACCCATTCGTATTGTTGATGTCTTACTCCCATTCGTATATTTGTTTTGTGTGTTTTATTTAGCTTGCATGTATGGAGCTGCAGGTATAGGGCTGGCATTCATTGCATCATACATAGGTACATTTGTGACAATGGGTAATACGATATTCGGTACAACCGGTGGGCCCATGTTAGGCGCTTTTGGGCTAGGTATGCTGTATAAAAGAGCCAATGGAATGTAAGTATTCGTTGATGGGTATGATGCATTCAATCTTATATAAATATATTCTGTGTTGGGCAGTGAAATAATCTCAGAAATCTCGCCAATATCTCAATGTATACGATTTTACGCTAATAATTATACAAATTATTTTTAGGAAGTATAATAATTTGATAATTTTTTTTTTTTTTAATTTTTGTGCCAGGCGACAGTTCTGGACATTGAATGTCACCGTTGTCTCTCCTGACTTTTTTTTTTTGTATGTGCAAATTGCAAGTGCTAGTGCTGACACATAGTGCATTTTGCCACAGAAGTCATATTCATGTTTGGGACTACATGACAGGGCTGTGTGGCCATCTCTCTGTCAAATGGCAATTTCAATGCGCTATCCTGG